CGAGAACGGCTTGACCGATAATCACGGACTTCGCGCAGATATCTCGGGCTGGCAGCTTGTCATGAGTAAAGATTTTTGGATCCTGTTTGGAATCATGGGCGCGCTCTCGGGCGTCGGGTTGATGACGATCAACAATATAGGACAAAATGTACCCTCCCTCCTTCCATCCCTCATCTCCCCAAACCACAGTAACTGATACTCGGCACCGCAGGTTCGATCTCTTCTAGCCCCCCTCGACCCCCCGCCCTCCGACAAAACCAAATCCCACCTCCAATCCCTCCAAGTCTCCCTCATCTCCCTCTCCTCCTGCATCTCCCGCATCCTCTCTGGCACGCTCTCGGATCACCTCACAACCCTCTCCCGCCCGCGGCATCTCCTCTTTCTCATCTCCTCTTTCCTCGCCCTCCTCGCCACCTCCTCCGCGCTCATCATATCCTCGCCAACACAACTCCCGATCCTGTCGGTCCTCACGGGTCTCTCCTATGGGGCGTTGTTTGGTGTAGCCCCGACAATTGTCTCGGAAACGTTCGGTGTTGGTAGAATGAGCACCAATTGGGGCGCTTTGACGATGGCGGCGGTCGTGGGCGGGAATGTAGGGAATATGTGGTATGGCGCCGTCGCAGATTGGAGGAAGGGCGAGGAGGGGGTTTGTTATGGAGGGAAGAGGTGTTATAGGGATGCGTATGTACTCGCGTTGGGCATGGTGGTGGGGGGAATGGGGATGGCGACGTGGGCGGTGAGGAGAAATTGGGGGGGTACGGGTGGGACAGGGGGACGGGGAAAGGGATGAGCAGATGAGGAGGAGCGAGAGGAGGAGTATGGCGGGAGGGGAAGAGAGGCGGGAAAGGGGAAGAGGTATAGAACGTTGATTGTTGCTTACTGCTTGTTGCTTCTGCGGAATAGAGAATACCTGTCATTCGTTACCGTTCGTTACGGTAGTAGAGTACTAGTACTAGTTACTAGTGTTTAGTACTGTACTCATTCGCCTGCTTTTGTCGCTGGACGGCCTTTAGGAACACCGGATGATGGGGTGATGGGGTGGATTTTCTGTTTTTGCTGGCTGTTGCTGGAAAGGAAGGAGGTCGGGGACATCGCGGATGTGGGATTTCGGTAATGTTACTGCTGTGGTGGGTAGATTTAGTTTTGGGTTGGTTTGGTTTGGTTTAGTTGGCTATGACTCGTGTATCGCATATAACGGTAATGAATTAACGCTTATTAGCTACTAGTATCTTCATTATCATCGTCATCATCGTCATCATGATCATCTGTACTCATCATTATACGAGTGATAACCTATGTTCGCATGCATACACGAACACATAAAACTACTACTAAATATAGTATAAAAGCCGTGAAAATATAACAGAATCCACAGTGAAAGAAACGAGACGGATGTCACACCTACCAGCACCTGTGGGCAATGAGTCGGTGCCACCAATGCCACCATTCCCAGCCGGGGTACAATCATCAACTAAACAGTCCAGACGGACGTCGTATCTACCAGCCCCTCTGGCGAAGACCTATGCAGTGCCACCAGTACCCCAAATACCGGAGGAACACCAGGGTGGTCTGCGACAGCAATGATGATAAATCATGAATCGGGGTAGTTTCACCTCCGATCTTACCATCTCCCAAAGCGCCGGATTGAACCCTGTATGGAAGTCGTCGAAGCGACGTTTCCATCTTTTTCCGATGGTTAAAACCCCCGTTTTTCAGTCTCGTTTTCCCATTGTCGTTTTGCTTTTCATTCGTCGTCACAATCTCCGAGAAGAATGTTTCTGCGGTACGCGACGAAATCTGCAGAGTGAGAAAATGGGTGGAGAGACCGATGGAGATTTGAGAGGAGCGGAATTCGAAGATGAGGACTGAAGATGAGGGAGGGAGTGGGGGAATGACATGGCGAAACTGAATGTGTGGCCGATGCTACATCACGTGCCTGATCTTCTGAGCGAGCCACAATTGATGATTCTTGGTTTATCATCGCCTCCTCGAAAGATGATTGCAAGTATGCACGAGATGGTTCTTGGGTAACGGCGTAGAGCCATGAAAAAAGGGTGGAAGATATATTAATTAGTATAAGGAGACCGCGCTTCCATTTACTCAGTGAGTCTTACATTCTGATGAGGACGTTGTGTATTGCAGTTTCTTCATCATGTCTTCCTTTGAATTCCCATTCTTTTCTTGGTTTCCTTAGACTGTTGGCGTTTCTTGCTGCTTTCCTCCGTTATTTTCATGTGATAATCGGCGTATGATTTCCTATGTCTTCCGATAGAATGTTTTCCTCTCTCATTCCTTTCCTTTTTTTCTTTCCTTTCCTTAGACTCATTGACTTTCTTTACTCTCTCACTGGCCGTTTTTTTTCCGCTTTTTCTTAACATCTTCATTATTTTCTTCCCCTGCTGTTTCGTACCAAATGTTCGTTTCCTTGGTTTATGTTCCCCACTGTCGGCACTCCCTTTATCAATGATGGCGAAGACGAACGGTTGGCCGCTTGTCCTAAGCATCACCCGGGCAGGTTGGGTCTTTTCTTTTGTCCTTCTTCAACTGAGTTCTATCATTCTTCTTCCCCTTTTCACTCAAATGATGCTGAGTTCGATAGTTTTAAATAAACATGATTTTTTATTGTATAATCCTGCTGAAGTCGTAATGGTATGCATTCGATAGTGACTCTCGCCGCGACGCACAGACACAGCGTAGCCTAGGACCCTAGCGAGTGTTGAATGACCGATAACTATGCCGCAAAAGAATATCACGCCCCACTGATCATGATGACGCCTAGTTGCTGATCGCGTGACATACTATGAACCACGTCATCCGGGAATTCGCATCCGATTGTGGGTGCCATCGACTTAACCTTGCGCAATCCCGTCTGTTCGTCAAATACATTAGGAATGTTCAAAGCGATATCAGGGCTGATTTTAACGGCAACGCCACTAGAAAAGGGAAACTTGAACCCACCTCCCCGAGTCGAGTCGAGCATCATGATTCTAGTAGCTAACTTGAATCAACTCAGTGGTAACTCGGATAACGATGGGTACTATAGAAGGAGATTCGAAGGCTATGGTGGGTTTTACTGCTGCACTCATGTGCCGCGAATAAGTAGTCTAGTGCGATTCCGGGATTATGCTACATCTCGTGTAGTGAGCATTGAGATCTTGAAGCCGGCGGCATCATCAATATTGGAGGATTGATGATGCTGAGAATTTGTGATGGAGGTTTTATGATACGTTTGTGGTGCACCTGTCTCTGGGAAGAAGGGGAAGCAACTAACTACACCAGCTACACCAGCTACACCCGATCAACCGGCTTTACCGGACTCAGCGGATTCCACTCACGGTGCCAGTGAAGTTTCCGAGGAAAAGTATACCGTGGAAGCATCCAAGCGGGATCCACCAATTTCGCGGCTGAAGCAAGCAGGGTTGGAATAAACTTTGGGACCAAGAAGAAACAGAAGAAGGCCAATTTCATTACGGGGAAGCACAGTGTTCTTGTTGAAAGTACGCCGAAAAATGATGGACACGGTGGTTCAAGTTCGAAGTCTGACAGGACGGCGCCATCAGCCTCAAGCATACCACCAAGTCAACCGGAGTTTGCGAAAGATTCCGTGAGAGAAACCAGACGGACGTCAAACTTGCATATATCTGTGGGCGACGAGTCGGTGCCGCCAGTACCACCATTGCCAGCTTGGTTACAACAATCAACTAACCAGGCCAGACGGCCATCAAATCTTCCAGCCTCTCCGCCGACGGACATACCCGAGCAATACCGTCGCGATATGGGACCACAACGGAGGTGATTTGGAAAATGAGCAGCGTCGGATGCGAGCCCACCATCTTTTAGCCGCCAGGGATGAAACCTGGATGGAAACGGTCAAAGCGACCTCAAAATTCCGCTTTCTTATCTCGTTCTCCTTTTTCTATCTGCGTTTCCTTTGTCGTCTCGGACATGCCTATTTCTGCGGCCCAATGCTTTTCTGGCTCGCTACCCGGAACTTTCTCAATTTCTGATATTGCAATTAGAACTCCTTGGTCATGTTTCCTCGTTCGTCCTTGCGTGTTGTGTTTTTGTTTCATATGTTTCATTTCTTCAAGTTCACATTAAGTTTTCATTATTTCATTCCTCAGCTTCCGCGATGTTGCCGGGGTGTCACCATGATCCGCACAAGCAGAATATACGAGTACGATGCCCTCGTCCCCGAACAAAGACCACCGTCCATACTCAAAGACATATTACGCGAACGCGCAGTCAGGGTTTGATTCTAGTCGGGATATGCTTCAGTCGACCACGATTGACCGGCAGAGTGCGTATATCCCCAAGCCGCAGGCGGCTCCTACACAGGATCAAGGGAGTCAGCCATACGACCCAAAGGGAAAGCAGAGGGCGGCCCGGATAATCCAAAGGGAATGCAGCCCGCAGCTACAGAGGACTTGAACATGGTGCGTTCTGCGTTTGATCAACCGGACACGAAGCGCTCTAATACGCATGACTGGGGAAGTTCTCAGTATCATTCACAGGCAACGCAGTGGAGTCCCCCTGGGGACTGGGGTACAGATACTTTTGCACTCGGTCACACCGGCGATGGGCTGTTGGGTCCACCAGAATTGAGACGCAAAACGCCTTTCGACATCGTCGTTCACTGGGGTGTTGCGGAAAGTTGCTTCCGGGATCACTTTGCGTGGGGATTCAACCAAGGAAAAGGGCAGGGGAGAATCATCGGCGCATCCTGGGTCGCCGCCGACACCAGATTTGGCATCTTGGCCTAACCCGAACGAGGAGAAGGAAAAAAGTGGTGGGAATCGAGGGGGCCAGAAGTGATGTGGGTTGGCGAAGTGAAGGAGGCGTGGTTCTGGAGGTGGATGGATTCGGAGGGTGGATGGATGTCAGAATGCAGGCAAAGATCTATTTTTGTATGTTAGCAGGAAATTCAGGTTTGCTGAACAGCGAAATTTGGATTGATGCTGCTGATGACGGAGGTCCAAACTGGGGACGAAAAAAAAATATGCTCACAACCGGATTTGAACCGGTGATCTTCGCATTTGCATGTACGTACGAGTGCGACGCCTTACCACTGGGCCATGCGAGCAAAGAATATCTTTCACAAGACACTTTTCATATATAGCTCCTTTAATGCAGCTTGTCTCGGACGCTCTAATCAACCTGGGAAGGACTCTTCGGGACTGCATTCATGACTTAACAGATATGTCCTTTGGCGCTGAGAGGATACCCCCGCATACTGCCAAACTGGTACCCCATAGCTCAATACATATCGAAGAACGCGAGAAGGCGATAAGAACCGCCAATGTATACGAGCTCAGACCCCTGGTCCCCGAGCAAAGACTGGTGGAGGTTTTCTGGACAGACGGATCAAAGAACCGGGAAGGAGACACCGGGGCAGCGGCGGCATGGCACTACGCAGACGGGGCCTGGAAGACCTATGGCTGGACCTTAGGAAGGAATCAGGAAGCCATCGACGCTGAGCTATTCGCCATTGCGGCGACCCTGAAAACCATGTCACCAAGCGCATGGCCTGACGAAATACGGATCTTCACAGACTCCAAATTTGCGCTGGAAAGAATCAAGTCATTGGACCCAGGGCCGGGACAAGAAATGGCCAACGAGATCCGGAAAAGCTACGCGGAACTAAGCGATAGAGGAGTGGACGTACATCTACACTGGGTACCCGGCCATCAAGACATTATAGGCAATGATACAGCAGACAAAGCAGCAAAAGAAGCTGCCACCCGCAACCCGAATTCTCGGCGGACCCAGAAACCCTCATTAGCCCATATCAACCGGCTGATCAACGAAGCCAGACAACAAGAAGAGAAGCAGTGGTTTGGGGAGAAGTGGTTTGGGGAGAAGTGCCAAAAGTACTATCCCCAGCGATACAAGCTCAGGAAATCCACCAAAGTGGACCCAACAGCTGCAAAAGCTAGGAAAAAAGTTGCTCTTCAATACTACAGGTTTGCGGCAGACCGCGCAGTCACAGCGGTCTACCTAAAATCGTTAGGAAAAAGAGACAGCGACGAATGTGGGTGGTGCGACGGACCCCGTCAGACTCGAGACCACCTGTTCAAGGAGTGTAGAATATGGAGAAGGGAGCAAGAGGGGCTCTGGAACACGCTGAGGAAAGAAGGGTTTGTGAAGACGCACGCGTTGTCGACAATCTTTGCGGAACCCAGGGTCACTCAGGCGATCCTAAAATTCATCGAAGAAACGACTGTGGGAAGACCAAAATCAGAGGACGAGGATAGAGCCGAAGAAGACCGGGTACATGAGGAATGGGGGTGGGAGGAAGAATATGGAGTGGAGGAGGATATGAGCACATAGTAAAGCATGAGAAGAAACGCCGGTGGGCATAGGAGAGTCTAAGTACACCGCAGTTTACTGCAGTGTACAGCTCAAAAGGCGGCCACTGCAAAGGCAGCAAGGTCGGCGAGAAAATGGTTGAAAACTGATGAAACAGAGTTTTGAGTAGATGCAGTATAACACTGCGGAAAGGGGACGTTTTGTATGTTAGTTCTCGCGCCATATCCCAAAGGGACGCATGCGCTTAAATGATACCAATCAATCAATCAATCGGACACCCTTCAGATAGTCATCCTCCTGCTTCATTGTAGCATCTCCGGTCGGACTCACAAATTAAGATATTGTGCACCGACGGACGATAGGGGAATCGCGAGAGTGGGGCGCAGTTTTGTCTGGAACGTGGAAATCAGACCAGTTCACGGAGGAAGTACCATTCTGTTAATGGTTGCGGGGTATCAATATCCCTCGAGGTCTGGCTACTCGATATCAGTCATCACAACTACACTACATGGCGTGGGCCTACGAAGCCGTCTCCGATTACAGTATGAGACACACCAGAAAATGTGTTACCAGCAAATCTCTAACATGAAGCAGCCACCATGCCCTGAAAATACATCTCTAAGGCTCATGTGGCCGAAATTCTCGCCCAAAACCGCCGGACTATACTGTAAGACTTGGAAGAAATTGGCAAGCTACATGGTGAGGTGGAAGAAATGGGGGCCTAGATTTCCGGTACCCAGGAGAAACTAGGACATCTGGGGGAGGGAGGTGCCCGCCGCTATGCCGAAGGGGAAAAGGGAGTGGACTGGGTGAAGCCCATCATGATCGGCTCTGTTCGTGTTGTAGTCGACACAATCACCACACAACATCCGAAACCCGGTTATGGAGTGAGAGGGCCATCGGTTCTACGGTTGACGAAGACGAAATAAAGAACCGCTTCGAACATTTTCCTGTGCAATTATTAACTGTACATCCTTTGAAACTACATGTTATAATACATCATTTCTAGAGGAAGACTCATTCAAGTTTCCGAAAGTGATTCCATTAGGGCCATCTCCCACAAGTTGCGCCATCCTCCGCAAACCCTCCTCACCACCTCAAATCCTCCTCACCACCTCAAACCCATCCTCGCCAACTCAGCACCACCCTCCATACTGGTCCCGTCCCCTCCACATCCGACCTAGAATCCCTTCTTCGCGACCTGGAACCCTCAAAACCACCATCTCCGCTCGAGAAGCACTCATCCAATCCTGAATGTGAGGAATACTATGTGAGGGTGAGGGGGCGGTGGTACTGGTGTCTGGAGGGGGAGAACTCATATGGATGACTTGGACGGAGGACGAAGCGTCGGACGGGGGAGGGCTTATATAAGGGAAAGCGCAGTAGATTTGTCAGTACATATAAAGTAGGTTAGAAGTGAAATATCTGTTCATATTGCTTACAATCACATACACGATCCATGCATTGCGCCCAATTATCTGCAGCGCTGGCCAGTCACTTTGTGCACTGGTCATCATAACGGGCTTTTGCCGTCAGATAGGGTTCTCATCTTTCAGATAGGGCTTTGTCGGCCCACTAAGATGCTGGCTTGCCATCTGAGAAATTTTCCGTCTGACAAGGGACTTGATCGTTTGACACGAAATCGGTTGGCGAGCTGGGGTATCGTAATATCATACCCGATTTGCCCAAGTTCCCCTAAACTAGGTCGGATAGGGCTACTTACTTTTTTTACTGATTTTCTTTGTTCTCCGCTTCCTTTGCCGTCCCCTTTCGCTGTTTCACTGTTCATTCCGGGGAAATTGGTTATCTATGGGGTGTTTCGTGACTAAGCTTTGCATACTGTAGGTTTCAGTAGAATATGTAGTAGTTGTAGTTGCGGCAGAAGGGACATATGTTCTCACTCTTTGGAAGGAAACTTCTGTTGTCTGCTTTCCTCCTCCGTCATTGTCCTCCACCAACATCCTTCCATCTCCCCGTCCAGCCTTTCCCACGCTCTCCCAGCCTTCACTTGCGATCTGCTCCTCCTCGCCAGATGTTGTGCTCTGCCAACACTGTCGTCCTGCCCCTGCGTTGACCTCCGTCAGCATCACCTTCTTCTGCCTTCTTGTCCACCTACATAGCCGGCCGTTTTCATCGTCCTCCATTCTCCTTCCGTCTCTTGACGCGGGCTCCTGCTCCTCCGACCTGCCTCCTCGTCCTCCCCCGACATCCGGCCTCATCGGTCACCTCCTCTGAGTCCGCATTCCTCCTCCGCCCCGGCCAATCTCCGCCTTCGCTGTTTCCCGTTTCCATCAGCTTCCCGCGCCATCCGGGGAAATCAAGGCAGGGAGACAATGATAGGTGAAAGACGTGGAGGCACATCAGTCCCACTACACCAACAAAAGGAATGCACTGTGCTATCGAAGTTGGATCTCCGACCTTCAATAAAAGACTCTAACACCACAACGGATAAGAAAGAGACCATGGGAGGGGAAATTCGGGTGTTCGGACGGAGAGGATGCGAGAACGAGGCCTTTGCGGCCATGCTGAGTGAGATAGAAGTGTTAAAGGAACAGAATATACTACTACGCCGGAAAAACGCCTACACTGCGAGCCCTCCCTCACAGGAAGCTTGTGGGACCGTGAAGAAGGCATCGGATGGGGCTGGGACACGACCAAGGCAGTCGGGAGGTGAACAAGATTTGCATACTGCCCAGAGGGGATTTGGGGAGGTTGATGTAGAAGGACGGAGAGGAGAAGGTGATGCTCGAAGTGATGATATATTGAGAAAGGAAGAAGAACGAGCGAGCAGGTATATACAGGCTACGCCAAGCAACAAGTGAGCCTCCATGAGTCGGCCTCCAACAGTAGATGATGGCCAAGGGGACAAGGGGGAGACCGAGGTGAGGGAAGTAGGAGACAAGAGTATTTGCTCTATACAGTACTTTTTTGCAATGCACCTTGCTGGAGAACCTCCGCTGACAAACCGAGTCACGGTCAGGTTACTGTCCAAGCTCTCGTCGGAGCCTATCTCCCTGGCACTACCCTCGACCACCCATCCTCCCGAACACTGTGATCCGACCATGTCTCACAGAACCAGATATCAGTGCAGCACTACGAGGCCTCCTGCGCTCCGCCACTGGGATGGGTCGATTGTGTGCAAGACCTGACGGCGGCGCGATGGTTTGGTGAACTTGACTGAGCTGGAGGTTTAGTTGTGCTTGGTTAATGCGGAAACAATAACACCATTATATGATCGCGTTGTATGCTACATCAAATAGAGTGGAGTCCATCCATGTGCGGATTGTGGTGATCATAATATGCGGAATGACGATCAACACCAGCGGAATGCCGAGTTCTAAAAAGAGGCCTTTTCCAAGTCCCAAGCCCGATAGCCGAACCATCCACCATCTGCCCCTGGACAATCTCAATCAATTCCACGACAACGAATTCCGCTTCTCGCCTTCGTTTACCGCTATCTATGCCCTTATTTTTGACATGGCGAATCCAGTTCACGTTCTCCGTCGATGACCTACAGTCTAGCTGCGGATCTACCATCCGATCCGCATTTTTGTTCTTCACCACCACCCCTTGACACCACGATCTTTCCGCATCGGGTGTATGCTCGCTACGCAAGTCGCAAAGAGCTGAAAAAAGATCTTCCCAAAGCCACAAACGCCAACATCGATCGATCCAGAACCAACCACGCGGATTCTCCTTTTTCTACGTCTTCTTAAAGCCTCCGATATCGCGCGACTTTGAGTTTCCCGCCTGTTCTCATCATATCACCGCAAA